GCCAATTTGGGACAATTAACGCGCGATATATTTCGCGCTGTTAACGCGTAAGCGGAGAGTTAATCCGTCTTAGAAATCGTTCCAAATTGGTTAAAAGAAGCTACTGTGCCATAATTGGTTTGTTACAAGGAGCGAAATCTATCCTTTTGTACTTTGTATGGCGTGTGGGGGGAATGATTTTCATGAAAAAATTTCAATTCTTAGAAAAAAAAAATGATTTTGTTTTATTTCATTGAATTTTCTAATGTTTTTACTGCTTCATAAACTTTAAAAGGCAGTCGGAACATTCAGGGCTTCGCCCTGATACGAGCAGTCTTGTTGGATTTAAAAGTTTCTTCCAAAACTGGCGGTTGTATCTCATACCACCCAAAAAGTTCTACGTGCATAAAATCATTACATTAAGTTCGCAGGCAAGGGTTAAAATGGGGATGTGTCAATATGAAATTACACGTACATAAATTTGAATGGATCCTTTTGGTTTTCTTTAAAAGTTATTCTCTAATTTTCTCTCATAATTTTTTGCTTGTTCGAACTTGCTCATATTTTTCATTACATCTTTATTGTCCGACTTTCGATACGGGGTGGGGTTTCGTGCTCGGGTGGGATTTTTTCTTCAGACAAATTTCGACTTTTTAACCAGCCATTTTTGACGGAATTTTTTAATATCATTCAAAAAGTATTGTTGTCCCGAGCTTAAATTTGAAAAGATATTACACCTGTGATCTTTTTTCGTAAAGTTATTGGGGTTTAAAGATTGCCATTGGTCAATTTGGGACAATTAACGCGTAAGCGAGATTTAATCCGTCTTAGAAATCGTTCCAAATTGGTTGAAAGAAGCTTATTTGCCATAATTGATTTGTTACAATGAGGGAAATTTTTTTTTTTGTACTTTATTTGGCGTGTGGGGGGATAATTTCATAAAAAAAGTTTCTAATTTACGATTTTTTTTTCATTTTATCTTATTGCATTTAATTTTTTTATGTTACTACTGCTCCATAAACCTTAAAAGGCAGTCGGAACATTCAGGGCTTCGCCCTGATACGAGCAGTTTTGTTTGTTTTTATTTCTCTACTTCGAGGTTGTCAGTTGATATTTGTGTATTTTGGTAGAGTTTTTGCATTCTCTGTTTTAGGGACGTATGCTATTTTAGTTTGAGGCAATTTTTAGACAAGTGTTTTGCCTAACTGGTCGCACCAATTTATTCAACTAGCAAAAACGTAACTGTCAAAGCCAAACAAGATGTTTTTTAAAAAAAATTTATTTCAAATAGCAAAACAACAACTGAAGCATGAAACCAAGATAGCACCGGGAGTGAAAGAGTGCACCATATGGGAAATCTATCAGATAAAAAGGCCGGATGTTTGTTTTTTTCTACTCTCTGACTATGATCGTGAACTAAAGTTCCGCAAGTAGTTCCGCAAGAAGTTTGCATGTAGACTCGAGAAAGGGGGAAATTGAGAGTGTGTTTTAGTTAGTGTAGTGATATGCCTCAAAGTTCATCTTGGGTCAAAGTGAAAGCTGAGTTTGTTTGGTTTATATTGTCGATGTGCCATCAGACTCAATTTGAGAGTTGAATAGAAATGAATGAAAACTACTGATACTAATTTTTAAGAGTATTTGAAAAGATTTCCTCTCCCTATTTTGTTTTACAATATGTTGTAGCCACCATAGTATTAGCATCTGGCGAAACATCGTAACGCGGTGATATATTAAAATTATTCTGCTTTTTCAGCATGTTGGGAATGATAAGCATGTTTTGCTTTTCTGTTTGAATAACCATATTGTTTCGAAACCGTAATTAGTAGACCGTTTCGTTCGGATTGATGACTTTTTTCGGGTTAACAACTAATTTAACAAAATCATTTGTATTACTTGCTCAATCAGCTGACATGCTCGATTCCATGAAAATTCAAATTTAACTGTGTGGGTACTAGTTACTACAAGGTAGTTTCAGGGAGGACTTGAAGTTTTTAAAAATTCTTTTCTTACAAAATTAATTTTTTTTGGCTAAATTAGTGTCTGCTCAAAGATTCGTAAATTTTATCCAGTTGATAATTTGAAATTGAAATGTCTTGCTTGGCATGTTTGTCAAGAGTTTTGGTTTGAAGTTTTATGAAAATGTGTGGGATTGGTTTTTATTTTACTTTTTTGAGCTTTGCAAAATTTTCTCACTTTTTGCAAAAAATTTAGTTTTTTTTTCTTAAACTTTGTACCCGTGATTTTCAAAGAGGATACCCATAGAGAAATCGTTTACACCCTTGTGTGCCTGCAGACTCACCTGGTCTCTTTTTGCATTACAGCCTTCGAAAAAATCGGGGGGAATATTTAACCGTTACCTTTGATTTTTTTTCCTATTTCTCAAAAACCAACCTAACAAATCTGAGATTTTTATTTCACTGAATAGTGAGAATTTGAAAAGCGCCAATCCAGAAGCGGCTACGTCCAAAATTTTTTAACATGAAATTATGGCTCTCGGAATAATGAAGTTTTTGATTTTGTTGACTGTCTATTGAATCTTTTTGATTTTTTTGAAAACTAACTCACTAACCGAGGTTTTGGGTTCAATGGAAAGCTCTCCTGCATTAGCGGCCACTCACAATTTTTTAGATCAAAAGTTATCGTCCGCTGAAAAGTCGATTTTTTGATTTTTGAGCGTTTTTTTTCTCTCAATTTTATGAATTTTACCGTTATGAGATTTCGGTTTCAATATAAAGAACAAAAATTATGGCCGTCGGAAAAAATCAAAATTTTGATTTTTTGACCGTTTTTTGAATCTATTAGACTTTTCTCGAGAACAGCCCTGAAAAATTTTTTTTGTTCAATGCAACTTCAAGTTGGATGAATCTCTTCCGCATAAACGGCTAGGCCCAATTTTTTATAAGCTAAAAGCTATGGTTCTCAGAAATGTCATCTGATAAGCTGTCCGTTTTTTGTTTTTTTTTCTCGATAACTATCCTGCCAAACCTGATATAGGTTTAACCGACACCACAGATTGTTGAAAGCTTACCTTTACCTTTTTAATTTAATAAGCCCAGTTTCTTTTAGAAAAAAGTTATGGCCTTCAAACAAGTGAAAGTTATGAAATTTTGACAGTTTTTTTTATGTTTTTTTTTTTACTTTACTCGAAAATTACCTTGCCAATTCTCAGGTTTAGTGTTTATTCGAGAAACCTGATTCTGGGAATTTTCTCTATTTTACCGGTCACTACCTGTTTTTAGCAGAAAATTTTTGCAGATTCCGGAAAGTCAAGTTTTTGATTTTTGACCGTTTTTAGAAGCTTTTTGAAGTTTTTAAACTACCCTATCAATTCTGAGATGATAAGTTTAATCGAAATAAGCGGCTGCGCGAATTTTTCCTACAGAAGCGGCTGCTTCTGATTTTTTATAAGAGAAATGTTATATTTTTGGGAAAGTTCCAAAATCTAAGGAATTTTCACTCTTTTTTCTTATTTTAGGAGACAAACAACTAAGGTTTTAGGCAAAGTCCAATTTTTGAAATCACGCATTTCGCCCTGCACCGGTAGAACGATTTAAAAACATATCATACACGTACCTCGAGTTCTAGCTGGGCTCTAGATTTCCGTCATCGATACATAATGAAGTTTGGTTCTCCTTATTTTTTTTCATTACTTTTTTTCGATTTGTTTTTTTCTATGATTGTGTTGTATCGCAAAAGGTGCTAATCTCCGCTTCGCCTCTGTGTATTACACATTGTTTTGTGGCTACATCTTTTATAGCTGATGGCAGATGAAAATCAACTTGAAACAGTTAAAAAAACTGTTTCATTTTAATTTGTTTTTGTTCGAGAATTTTTGCGTGAAATCTTTGTTTTTATATTTTATCATATACTCTAGCTGTATTTGTGTCGCGGTGGCAATGGAATAATAGCAACAGGTTGTATTTGGTGAGGAAAAAAACTATCATCGAAGACGAGATTTTTTTTTCAATAATGTGCTAAATATGTTTGAAGCTTTTATCTAATCAGCTGCCTCTTATTGCGAATTTTTGAATGCTTCGATCTTAACTGGACTGTTTTATTTTTCAAGGTTGGAAAGTACTAGACGGAAAAACAAAATAATTGTTTTCGTGTTGTGTTTTGCGGCTAAAAATCTCTCTGCGAAAATGTTTTTCTGTTAGAATCTTCATTTTCAGCTTAATGTATCTGTCAGTAGTTAAGCATGTACTGACAAAGGTTTGCAAAGAGTGCCTTCAACTCGGCTTAAATGATTTAAGAGTAATGAACGTAGTGAAGACTTTTATATAGGTCTTGTTGGTTTTTTTTTCGGGAAAAAGTCTTAAAATATTATAATGCACTTTTGGAGCTCAATTGAATTTCATCTGCCGAAAGTGTCGTAAATAGCACTCTCCAAATGCGAACATGGAAATGTCGCGAAAAAATGTGAACGATTTCTATTTTCGAAAGTGGAATTTATTTTTAAGATTTCCCAGCGGAATAAAAACTTTACCTATTGATCCAGTTTTCTCAAGTTGGGTTAGTGTTATCAAAAAAGCGCCAGTCAGAAATCGTTCTACAAATTCAAAGAACTTAAAGGGCATCTGTTTTTTCTTTGAAATTCGAAAGTTGAGATAGTTTCAGCAAAGTCAGTGGTTTTTTTTATGTTTACCTACGTTCATTACTCTTTTCCAATCTTCGATTGGCTATGTTCAACTTCTTTTCTTTGAAATCAATTACTTTTCAAGTATTCAAAATAGTTTTTGGCTTTGTTGAACAACATATTAATTTTCGGCACTGTTGTGCTGCCCCAAATGATACTGCATATTTTTGAGATGGTATTCGTCTGGTGACTATTGGTTTCTTAGGTTAGGATGTTTCTTTACTGATATCAAATAAATAATAGGTTATGAGTTAGAGCGGTGGTCGGTACTTTTAATTGTCAAAATTGCAACTGTTTTCAAAAAATGCCTCTTTTTGAGCTCATAAGACTCATTAGTCTGTGTTCCAGATCTCCGAGCTCGTTAATTGTGTTATTTTTGTTCCAGGTTATCTTCCTAACAAGAAAGTGGTTGGCATTAGCAAGCTAGCGCGGGTAGTAGAGACCTACAGCAGGCGTCTTCAGGTACAGGAGAGACTGACCAAGCAAATAGCCCATGCAGTCACTGAGGCACTTGAACCGGCGGGGGTGGGGGTCATCATTAAGTGCAGTCACATGTGCATGGTGATGAGGGGGGTGGAGAAACCAGGCAGCTCTACAGTCACAAGTGTCATGCTGGGCGAATTCAGAGACAACCAAAAAACGAGGGAGGAGTTTTTAGCCCTCATAAAAAACTAGTCTGGGAGCTGCTGACGAATAGTTCCTGCTTTTATTTGACAGGACTGGCCAAATAACAAAATGCTTCTGATATTTTTTCCAAACGTAATTCATGGCGTGTTAATTATCGAAAATATCCATTATCAATTATGTATGAATATGAATTTGATATAATTCTTTTGATTCAGTCTATGAAACTGAAGTTGATATTTTAGAAAAATCACAAAGCACTAGCTCCGGGAAAGTTTGTCGTATATTGAAATGCGGTCTTTGAAAGAAACCATTAATCAATATCGTACATAGCAATGCTTAAAGTTTTTTTGATTTTCCAATTTCTGAAGGGATTCATCCATCTAAAATTACTGAACGGGTTTTCCACTTGACGCATGTTTAAGAAGTCCCTACCTTGACCTGTTAAAAAGCCAATATATTGCTAAATTTAAATGTATACTGAATTCGACGTTTTTACACTAGCCAGCTTGAGAGCGTAGTGTAAGAGTATGAGCCTTATTTTTTTCTCAACGTAACTCGCAAATGAAAGTGTTCATGAAAAGTTTTAATTTATTTGGTTGCTCTTCTGCTATAATCACAATCTGTTGCGATGGAAATTTCATAGCATTTGTTCTCTGCTTCATTTGTGGCTAGTGTTTGTTGATTATCAAGCGTCCTTGACTGTGTTGTTAGTGCGTGAGATTCTTAATCTGAAGGTCGCAGATCGAATCACATTCTTAGCCAAATTTGTACTAATTCGAGGCTTTTTTCCACCTTTTTATTGCCTTTTTTAGAGCTTCTTTGTGATCTTGCTAGTTTTTGCGAAGCGCAGCTCCGCATCTGTAAAATCTGTTGGAGCGCGAATGCTTTAACTCCACATTTTTCTAACTTGACAACGCAAACTTTCATGTTTTTTGTTTCATTGGTTGAGGAGGTGCTGTCAGGGTTTCCCCGTAGAGTTACGATTTTTGCATCCAACTTTGAGTACCCAAATATTTTCAGATTACGAGATATGACAACTTTTTTTGACTACTGAAAAAAAATTTCAGAAACTTAGATTTGAAAACCTCCAAAAATTTGAACGTCTTTACCTTATAGTGGGGGTTGGCAGTGTACTTTTAGGGGTAGCAAACTTCACCTCTAACGGTGATTGTTCACTTGTTTAGGAAACATGACATTTTTTCTGATTTTATTTTCAAAAACTTCCGAAAAAAATCATAACGTTTGAAATTACCACTCCTATATTTGGGTGCTGTTTCAAAAATCGTGCCTCTAGTTGTGACTGGTCAAATCCTGCCAGTTTCCGAGATATGAGGATTCTTATAGGTTTTGACGGCTTTTGTTTGCTTGCTTGTTTTGACCCTACAGGCGTGCAGTATGTTTGGCTACTGTTTATAAGTCGAGTTTTTTTTTCGTTTCGAAGTTGATGAAAGTAGGGCAGTGTTGTATGAAGGTCGTGATGATCTTCTTGTTTTTTAAAGAAAAATTTTTAATTTTTTTTTCGCGTTGAAATGTGATTTGATTTTTCACTGTTTCACTAATCATTGTTTTGAGTTCAGTTCATTTTCTTTGTAAAAGAATTGCAGACTCCGCCATGGAACAGCAAAAGTGTAAAGTTTGGGAAAACATGAATAATTTTTATTCTTTCGTAATTTTAAATGCGGGCTTCGCCATCGCTCTGTTTAAGATTTCAACATATTTTCTTGCATGTTTAACGAAAGAATTTGTCGCACGCTTAAACTATGTCAGGAATTGCAATTCTTTTTATTGTTCCAGTTTATGAATGCTTGACCAATTGTAAGGCCCAACTGTTGAGCTGTAACTATACCAGTGGGTATGGGGAATGAGGGCAAGGCAGAAGGTTAGTAGGGTAGTCCAAGGGGTCGTATTCAGTCATCCATCCTTCCATACATTCAGCCTGCGTTTCATTCATCCAGCCTGCCACCCATCCATTCGGCCTGCCACTCACTCATCCATCCATCTATTTTCTAACTATCTATACTTTTTATAACGGGTGTTTTAAATTATCCTTGTTTGAGAAATCACTATTTTGACATAATAATGCCAATATGTTGTGCAGCGTTCAAAAATTTTAAGTCGACATTTTAAAATGTGTTCAATTTGGTCTTTTTATCCCCACCAGCTATGGATTTCAATTTTCCACGAGCATCGTACATTTTCAACGTGCATAAAAATTTCACGATTTTCTCAGGGATTGTGAATTTGGCCCAAAAATTTGAATGATCAAATCCTTTTAGCTTACGAGATATGATAATTTCTTTGATTTTCCTTAGCTTCCAAATGGCTTACATATAAAATTGTAAAGAAAACTTGAATCTACGAGCCCCATGATGGGGCGCTGTCAAGGTTTATGCAGGGGTTGCGAGTTTTGCCTACAAATAGGACTGCTCAAATCGCTCCGGAATATGACGGTTTTTAGGTTTTCAAAAACTTTCAATTAACTTTTTATTTTGAAGAAATTTGGAAAAAATGGTTTTCTTTTACCGCTATTACGGGTTGCTTTCATATTACTGCTGCTGTGGCTTCCAAATATGACTTTCAAACAGTTTTGGCTTAAAAAATGTGACGTTTTTTCGTGATTTTTGAAAATTTAAGGCTCTATGGGGCGATGTTGAAGGACTTTCAAAGATACAAGTCAAATTTTTTTCTGTATGCGAGGTTTGACGTTTTTTCTCAGTTTTTTGAAAGACTCAAAAAAATCAAAACTTGAAATTTCAGTCCGCTGGTAAGATGATGTGACACTCACAGCTATTGCACAGCTTGCCTTTAATTGTGCGTGATCAATATTTTTTTCGATTTTTCTGAATATACAACGTTTTTCATGATTTAAATTTTTATTCGAATTTTTGGATATAACAAAATTTTAAACTATCAACCCTATCAACTCGCATGAATTAAAAATCTGGTCTCCTATAGTTCTTACCCATGCTATAAGCAAGGGTTTTGCAATCGGGTACTAGACTCGCTCGTGGACTCCTTCATCTCCTTGTCCTGGTTGTAAATCAAATCCTCTTCTTCTCTGTTGCAAAAAATAGGCATGTTATAAGTTTCTTAGTGTTTTAAATATTTCAGCTTTTCGAATGTTTATAAAGGCTTAGTGACCTCCTACTGAGCCGTTCAATTAAATAAATGGTTTTTATGTGCGTGTGTGTGTTTTGAGGTAGAGGTTAACCTGAAATTTTTTGTTTGTTTCAAACTTTGTTGGAAACTTTTTTTTCAGATTTTTAATCATTTTTTGGCTTAATATGTTTCGACATGTTTTACACCACCTCTGCGGTTTTTCGTTCCGCCATTTGCTAAGCAAAAAGTTTTCTGTGTGTGTGTGTTTTGAAGGAGCGGGAAAATTTAAAATTTTCTATTAGTTTCAACTTTTTTTGAAGCTTTTTTCAGCTTGAAAATTTTCTGCGCAGATATTTTTGGGCATTGTTACTGCTTGGTAAATTTTATTTCGATGCTAATTTTGTATTTTTTTGTCTCGGTATGTTTTTTCTCAAATGCATCTCTATACTTTTTGATAGATCCTTTTGCATGCATAATTATAAAATTTCGATATTTTTGTTTTTTGGTTGATGGTTTTTCGGCTTTATTTTTGTCGATTAAGCTCTCGCTTTAGTCTCCTAAATGTGTACACCTCCTTGCCTTCAGTACACAGTGCATATTTGAACTTGGTGGATAGTATATGGGCAGTACATGATTTTTATCAATTTAATTTAGTTGAATTATTTAGGTTTAATATCAGCTTATTGGCTGCCGGCTTTTGTTCCGTCGGCTTACATACATTTATCTTGTTTCCTACAATTTTCCAATTTTGTTTCTGAAATATACAGGACCCGTGCGCCTCATTTTTAAATTCGTAAATTCAACACCATTGGAACCTCTTAAAAATATTTCGTTTTTCTAGATCTTTTTTTTTCAAATGTAACATCTTTGGAAATCCTTTTTACTAGTTCTTGTGCACGGGCTGTTTTAACCCTGTGTTTGTTGTATTGCAAGTAGTACGAAGCTCAGTTTCGTCTCTGTGTTGAGATATGATTTTTGTACGTTTTTCAAAACATTTAGGAAATCTTATTTCAAGAAAGTTTCTCAAATTTCAAGTTCTCCACCCTAAGCTTGGTGATATCACGGTACTCCCAAAAGTTTTTTTCGTGACCTCCAAATCTAACTGGTGAAATCTATTTAGTTTCCCAGATGTGAAGTTTTTTCAGAAAACTGTCTGCTTGCATCAGGGCGAAGGCTTGATTATTCCGACTGCCACTTAATTGGATGCAGCCGGTTTTGATTGAAAAAGATTGTTTTCAATTTTCTGACATCGTTCTCATCGAAATTCTAAGTACAAAGTAACTGATTCTGCCGCTTCTATCAATTGTCCCAAATTGGCAATTTTCAAACCTTTTTAAAATTTTGCTGTAAGAAAAATGTCGGTTTCGTTTGAAGGCGTCATTTCAGTCAAAGAATGTTACTTTAAAAATAAAAAAAGCACACGAGCACAAATATTCGAGAATTTTCTTCGACTGACGCACCGAACAAGTTTCAAGGTAGACTTTTTGAGGGCGGGCAGTGGAAGTTTTTTGAAACTATGATGGGCCGACCTAAACTTTCTCAAAGCGGGAATTTGAAAGAATGACCTAACTGATTTTCCGAGATCTCGTAAATATTTTTCGCTTGTACTATCTTACAAAAATTTTCTGTGCCAAAGTCTTTATAGAACCTTTTTGCCAGGTTTTTGCTACGAGCATTCCTCGTAGAACTAGTGTACTTTCGCACATCAGAGATGTCGCTTGGAAAAATTTAGCCTTGCCCGACCACAAGTGAATGTAAATTGATTGCAAAAAGGGAGGGGACATCACTTTGAGTGGTCAGGAATTTGGAATCTGTAAGGATTCGTTACTAGATACTAATTTTACATATGCTTAACCAGTAGCGGATTTAGCGGGACAGGGGTTCAACCCTTACTCAGGGATTCGACCCCTGCCGACCCAATGTGCTTCTTCTTGTTCGTTTATGTAGAAACGTTACACTGTGATGTGCGAAATGGGGCTTAGGAAATGAGACGACAAGCAAATTAGACGACCAGAAAATAACAGAATTTAGAAGATAACTTGCGTGCAAATTGCGTGAAATTTGTTAACAGGCTTAAATTAACTTTTGGCTGAGTATACACTGGTT